TAAGAAGTAACTGAGCTGTTGAGAAACTGCTTTTTCAATGATCTTACTTAAAAATGGGAGATTTGAGATCGGCCTGTAGTTGTTCATTTGTGTCTTGTCAAGATTGTCCTTTTTCAGTATAGGTTTGATTACAGCAGTTTTTAGTGATTCTGGAAACACACCTGATAATAAAGAAAAGTTGACGATCTGTAACAGGTCTGACTCTAAAGTCTTTGAGACCTTTTTGAAAAAACTTGTTGGCAGGACATCTAAACAGCAGGAGGAGGAGTTCAGTTGACCTAAGATGTCCTCCAGGTCTTTGCTGTTAATAGGTTGAAACTGTTTCATGGTGGTTAAACAGTTTTTCGGTGGACACAGTACATATCCTGGATCTGCTGTTGATGTACCAAGTGCTTGTCTAATTTTTTGGATTTTTTCAGTGAAGAATTTGGCAAAGTCATTGCAGGCCATGGTTGAATGAAGTTCAGCTGCCACTGACACAGGAGGGTTTGTTAGCCTGTCAACTGTAGAAAATAAGACCCGAGCATTATGGCTGTTTTTAGTGATGATGTCAGAGAAGTAGGACCTCCTTGCATTCCTCAGTTGTAATTATAATTGTGAAGTTTCTCTTTATAAATGTCATAGTGAACCTGGAGGTTTGTTTTTCTCCATCTGCGCTCAGCTTTCCTACACTCTCTTTTTTCATTTTCACCAGTGTGGATTTCTCCATGGAGACTTTTTCCTTCCAGAGATAACCTTCACCTTAATGGGAGCAATAGTGTCCATTACATTTAACATGTTAGCATTGAAGCTATTGACGAGCTCATTGACTGACCCTCTGGGCAGGTCAGGTGTTAATGGGAAGACCTGGTTAAAAATTGCACTACTGTGTTCAGTTATACACCGTTTTGTGATCACTGTTGTTGATATATTTGTGTGGGCTGAGATTTGACTTTCAAAGAAAACACAGTAATGATCAGACAGGCCCACATCAGACACAGTAACCTTTGAAATGCTCAGGCCGTTGGAGATCAGTAGGTCAAGAGTGTGTCCTCTATTATGTGTGGCCTCTGTTACATGCTGAGTCAGCCCAAAGTTGCCCAGAGTGTTACTCAGGTCTTTAGTCCCTTTGTCCTGAGGGTTGTCCACATGGATGTTAAAATCCCCAACAATAATTACACAGTCAAAATCAACACAGGTCACAGACAGCAGTTCACTGAGGTCATTAAAAAAGTCTGTGCAGTATTTGGGAGGCCTGTAAACATAAAGAAACACAACTTTGGATGGGGCCTTCAGCTGTAAAGCCACATATTCAAAAGACTGAAAACTTCCAGGAGATAGCTGCTTACATTGAAATGATTCATTAAATAAGACAGCAACCCCTCCTCCTCTCCTGCTCACCCTGACCTCACTGATAAAACTGTAGTTAGGAGGGGTCGTCTCGATGAGAACAGCTCCACTGTTACTTTGGTCCAACCAAGTTTCATTTAGAAACATAAAATCAAGGCTGTGCTCAGTGATTAAATCATTAATTAAAAATGTTTTCCCAGCTAAAGATCTAATGTTTAATAAAGCCAACTTAAGTGTTTTAGAGGCATTACTTGTCCCCTCGTGTTTGGGAGCAGTCTGTGGCACACAAGGTATGTTTACTATGTTTAAAGATCTTTTAGAGTGCAGCTCTCTGTGTTTTGACCAGGCCACATGTCTCCTGTCACCTAAAAGTACAGAGATTTTAAAACCTTCTAGTAAACAGGGTCCCAGCTTCTCCTGGGAAAAGTCATCACTGCCATAATCCTCACAGCCCGGACCCTCCACACATCACGCATCAGACTGCGGAGACAGGGCATGAAGAGGAACTAAGGGGGGCGAGGCTGGGCAATGTGACTTCGATTGCTCTGTTGAGGGTGGGGCTCGATGGCGAACCTTTGGCCGCTCTGGTGGGGGGTTTATGGGGGACAAAAAGGGATTGGGACGGGGGGTAGATCTGAGCCCAGCATTGACCCGCTCCATCATCTCCTCAGTGAATTTCAGGTGTGGGGAGGAGGGAGAAAGGGAGGGGGAGGAGGGTGATGGCCTGTCAGGGGTTTGGGGGACTGGGGAAGGTCGTGGTCCCTTGTCCTGGTCGTTGGTGTTGTTGAGAGAGTTGGAGGCAAATAGGGACCCCTCTTCTTGCCTTAGATGTCTCTCCTTTCTGAGGCTCTTCCTCAGATGCCATGGATGTCTCTCCTTTCTGAGGCTCTTCCCGGGTGGGGGCAAATGGAGCTCCTCCTCAAGGTTTCTGCTGGGCTTTGTCTGTTCTTGGAGTACTGTTTGTTCCTCTTTATGAGATAACTCCTCGTTTATCTCAGCCTTGGCACCAAGCACGGATGGATGACGTATGGAATAAAACAAGTTGGAGGTGAACAGTTTCACCCCTGACTTGTTAAAATTAAATCCATTTGCTTTAAACAGATGCCTGCGTTCCCAAAAAATATTAAAGTTGTCGATAAAGTGCACTGAGTGGTCAGCACATGCTGATATAAGCCATTTATTCAGTGTAAACAACCTGCTGAATCTCTCGTCTCCTCCTCTGACGGGCGGTACAGGCCCACTGATGAATACAGCTGCATTCAGAGAGTTTACAGTATTTAATATTCCAGTAAAGTCCCGTTTCAGAACCTCCGACTGTTGTTTGGACACATCGTTTGACCCTGTATGCAGAACAATGTTTGTCACAGTTGGATATTCATCTGCAATTTGAAGAATTCTCTCCTTCAGGTTGTTGACCATATCGTTAGGAAAGCAGAGGACTTTAGTGTTCTTACCGCACATCCTTTGTACATCCTTTACAGCAGAGTCACCCACAATCAGAGTTTCAGGCCTAGCCTTTAGCTTTCCCTGTGGCCTTTCACTTTTCAACAGATTTTCAGACCTTATTTCGCTGCTTTTAGATGGATGGTTGTCCGATATAGATCCAGGGTCCTTTGATAGTGGCGCAAATCTGTTCTGCAGTTTCACATTCAGTTGTTTTGGAGGTTTGTTGTTAACCTTCCTATTCACGGTTGTCCAGTCCTGTTTCCTCCTGTATATAGGGGTAGAAGAGCTTCTCTGTCTCGTAGGAAGTGAAGGCCAGTCGGTTTCAGAGATTTCAGCTCGCTGTGCCCTGCCTGTGATACGTCCTCCCCCTTCCAGGAGACATGATTTATGTCTTGGTTTTGCACCAAGACAGTCTAAGGGGGGATTATCACTTGAGGATTTATAATAGTGCACAGAGTCTACTTTCTTGGTCATGTTATCTGTGCTCCTTAGCTGTGTACTAGCTTGCTCATCGCCATTGTTTTGAATCAAAGGCAAGGTTGTTTCATTTCCACACAGTCCATTTACCTCCACGTTTACTTCTAAGCGATGAATTTTTGTCTCCAGTACTGCAATCTTCTGCAGGAGGCTGTGGTAGTCATCTGTGGAGAGGGAAGGCATCTTGTTGCTAGTTAGCCTAGCGGTTAGCACCTTTCTAGGCTATTGAGGCTGCTCGGTGCCCAGACGCTGTAATCAGGCTTCAGCTGTGTCTAGGCCACAGACACACGGAGCGCTGAGGACAAGGTAACCATAAAATGTTGCTGTTTCTGTTAAGAACACTCTAGTCCTAATGATCTACAAGTGTCCAGAAGTTATCGCAGGTAAGCTCACACGGAAAAAAGGGAAAAAATCAGCATAAAAATCAATAAAAATCTATATAAGAAGCAAAGCATTCAAGAGCAAAGAGATGAAGCGTGTGTGTAACTGTTAACATAGAGCGTTATTCAATTTATTGCTAATGCAATCAGTAGTTGCATTAGTAAATTTTACATGCACTCGTCATCAGAAAGGTTGCCGACCCCTGCTGTAGGGCGAAGGACACACACACCCACACACATGTTTGAAAACATCCTGACACAAAGTTTGACATCTTGCTTTGGATGGTTAAGACTGCCAGGAGGATTGTTGGTGCCCCTCTCTCATCTCTGGAGATCTACAAACAGGGCTGCATACGCAGAGCTACCTCCATCATCAGAGACTCCCACCACCCCTCTCATGGCCTGTTCTCCCTCCTGCTGTCTGGCAAGAGGTACAAGAGCACCCCTCCCCACCCACTCAGCTATTCACACAGCTATACACACACTATTTGATCTAATGATCCTCTTCTATGAAAGGACTGCTGCCACCTGAATGAGTGTGACTGCTTAGACCTGAGCTCGTTTTAGAATTTACATTACGAATCGATGTTATTTATCCTTATTATTACTGCGATTTATCATTGACTTTTAAAAAAAATTGTATTGGTTACTGTAGAGGCTGGTGAGAAACAGTATTTCGTTTCGGTCAGAGTATTTTTTGAAATAACATACGAAATGACAATAAACCTTTCGATTGATTGATTTGATTATCTTTGTGAGAAATGTTCATGCATTTTCAAGCTTCTTTCCCTTAAATTTAATCATCACAGCAGGTTTCAAACTCTTATCCAAAACCTGAACTTTATGCTAATTTTACCATAAATGCAACTTGCATTGGGTCTGTAGCTCAAGAGGTAGAGCAGGTCATCTGCTGATTGGAAGGTTGGTGGTTCAATTCCTGACTCTTCCAGTCTGCATGCCAAATATCCTTGATACTAACCCCAAGGTTCTCTCGAATGTTGTGGAATATACACTTTTCCTCTCGTGGTTCCGACATCTCTGCCTGAGCTTTGCAATCATAGATATCATATATGATTTCTGTCTAAATACGAGAACAAAAGTACTAAGGCTCTGACGTTAAGAAGCATCTTTGTCTATAACACAAAACATAATGGTAGCGTGTGGTAAACTCAGCGACTCATGAACTTAAAACATTAAAGCCCACAAGAAAAAAAACGACTGAGCAGAAGTTGTAGTCTGTATAAACACAAGCTGGAGTTTAGCTCTCGAGACCAGTGAGACTTTACAATCTGAAATTCAAAACTGCCATTATATAATTTCCTTTTTTTAGTTGGTGTGGTTGGAGTAGAAAAAGACATTTAGCCTTACTTGACAATGCTGCGAGCTCTGTCGGGGTCCATGGCGCTGACTGAGCCCACCACTGTGCCCACCGCAACATCTTCTTTCACCTCATACAGGTAGCTGGCTTTTTTAAACACAGGCGGCTCATCCACATCATCCACGGCCAACCGAACCGTAGCCACGTCTTTTGGGCCTGAGGACACGAAGCGAACATATTCCTGGGTGTTCTGGACCTGGATCTCGATCGTGTATGATGGTTTCTTCTCATAATCCAAAGGCTGCAAAGGCAAAGAGAGAACGACTGCTTTCAGTAAAGATGTCTGTGGAAACATAAAGCCAGCCTGAACAATGGCAATCATCAATGTCCACTGAGGCCAACAAATGCATGTAGACAGATAAATGAGACAACAGCTTGAAAGATACATACATACATACATATAGTGTATACAAGTGTGGCATGGTCATGTAAAGTATCTGTAACAGCAGCTGGTGCTGTCAGGTTGCTGTGGTGATAGTGGGTCAGAGGTTTGTCACTAAAACAGTTTGTATCAATGTTGACACACACTCTCTGTGAGGACACATTTCTACAACACGGCATGGCTTTGTATTTTTAACAGCATATGTAAAACAGACTTAGTTAGCAGGATCCTTAGGAGCTGAAAGTGTGAGCTCTGATCAATTCATTTCAAGCCAACCAGTGATGTGAGAAAAATATCAATACAAAATAAGAAGCCAGTATTATCTGAAGGTGGCCAAAGCTATGGATAGTTTGACTCATGCTTTTTCAGTACACAGCGACTCAAGAACATTTTCTTTTGGTCTCTATTATAACATCATTTGACCCCCAACGCTTCAAGTCCCGTTTTTAATGTTTACTGGTTAGTTGCTCTCACCTTTCTGACAGTGACGAGTCCTTCTTGTGTTTCTTTGTCAGTGGAAATGTCAAACATTTCCATCCCGTCACCGCTGATGATGGTGAAGTCCATCTCAGTGTTCTTTCCAATGTCTTTATCAGTGGCCTGAATTCTCCCAACGACAGAGCCGGACGTGGACGATTCAGGAACTCTGAACTGGTATATACCTGGAAACAGTCAGCTCCATCACATCGGTGGGACTCACTCTGGTGACGGAGGTGTCTGGGGTTTTCTAGTTTTTGTTTTAACTCCCAATTATATTCAATTTGTCAATTGATATGAATGTTTTTGGACAGAATTATGGCTGCAGAATAATTCTCTCAATTGTGCAGGACAAAAACATGTCACAGGGGGCGATAGAGTACCAAACCCTGGGGAAGAATTAAGATCTGATAAAGGGATTCACGGGATTCTTAAAAGGCTTTAAACAAGATACAGACAGCTGACAACATTAAAGAAAAACCTGAATGCATGCTGAAGCATATAGTTAGGGCTGGACCAGGTGACCCTGAATCCGCCCTTAGTTACGCTGCACTAGGTGTAGGCTGCTGGGGATTCCCATGATGCACTGGGTGTTTCTTCTTCAATCAACTTTTTCACTCACTATGTGTTCATACACCACTCTGCATTTAATTATTAGTTATTATTAATATCTGGATCTCTCCACAGCGTGTCTTTGTCCATCCTCACCCCAACCAATGATGGCCCCTCCCTGATTCTGGCTCTGCTGGAGGTTTCTTCCTGTTTAAAGGACATTTATTTCGATCCCGCTGTCACCAAAGTGCTTGCTCAAAGGATGTCATATGATTGTTGGGGTTTTCTCTCTTTTCTTTGTATTGTTTCCTTGTATTATTTTCCTTTCCCTTACAATATAAACAGCCTTGAGAAAGCTGTTGTTGCTGATTAGAAATAAAACTGAACTGAGTATAATTAATAGCTGTGTGTGTTTCATCACTCGTATACACACTGTGCTTCGTCTGTGCTGCTGTCTTACTCTGAGTGAAGTGGGGAGGGTTGTCGTTGACGTCAGTGAGAGTGATTTTAACCACAGTGCTCCCAGTGAGGCCTCCTCTCTGTCCACCCATGTCCTTGGCTTCGATCACCACCTGGTAGTGCTCCCTCTGCTCACGGTCCATGTCACCAGGACCCAGGGCTGTCCGGATCACACCTGAACAAAAAACAAAACTGTAATCTAAATTCATGTTCAGTCATTTTGTTTTTCATCATCGTGCTGACGTGTTGCTGGTGTGAATTAATATGCACGTCTTCAGATGTAATATGGCTTTATTTTCATTCCTGTTTTGGGTGGAGGAGAAACAAACCAACCATCTGTGGCACAACAATTTTCCTTTGGTCATGATCTGAGTTTTTAGGATATTTGGGGTTTTTTTGATTGATTTTCTATTATAGTTCTATGTTCCCTGTTCTATGGGTCTTTAGGCACATATTTGAGCTCCACAAGCATTGTCCCTGTTAAGTGGTCTTGATTTCAGTGTTTATTTCCTGTTTTATTTTGACACTTCCTTGCCCTGTGTGCATTATGTTCAGTTTTGCTTCTTCTGTCTTGTTACTCCTGATTTGTCCCTGCTGTGTTCACAGTTGTGTCCACTTCACTCTCCTGTGTATTTATTGTCTCAGTCTTCCCGTGTGCATTGTGTGTTCTGTGGTCACGTGCTAGAGCCTAGTCTATGAGTTAACGGTTTTGAGTCTCACCTAAGCTATTTTGTCTTATGCATTTTGATTCCTTAAGTTCAGTAATAAAGTTATATTTAAGTTTATGCTTGTGTGTTTGGGTCTCACCCTGTCTGCCACACTGCGAAACCTGACACCTTTTTTTAAGTCAATAGACAATTAGTTAGAGCTGAAATCAGTCATATTACAGGACTTATTATCTGACAAGTTCTCTAAACCCAGCTTTAAATCTTTTAAGCTGACATCTGGATTTACAGAAACATCAGTGTACACGGGTCAAAACAGGAAGTTGTTTACTGGAGATCTACAAAGTTTAAGATTAATGTCACCAGTTCTATATGTGGGAAAAAGTGAGACATTTAGCCTCAATTCTTTGTAATGACCAGCAGGGGACTCCTGTGGCTGCATCCACATGTGCATTAGGGTACGCTTGACTGTGGGACCATATCGGTGTATTCCTCGGTTTTATAGTCATATCCATCACATTTTTTATGTTTGCCTACAGAAAGCTAAAATGGGGACCCATAAAATGGTCAGCTTCAAGACTTTAAACTGGCACTAAGGTGATGTGATAGTGACAAAGTTCACCTTTAATCTGTGGCACTTTGAAACACGATCTTTTGATTTTTCGTCAGGTTTTTGGCTCTCAGTGTTGTACTAGTACAGTGTCAGAGATTTACAGTTAACAAACAGTCAGGTGAGTAAACAACACTGAGACACTTGAGATTGATAACGTGCGGCACGGGTGAATCTCAGACAGAGAGACACCCCGAACTGCAGTATTCGTCAGTACAGTGAGTGTGTTTGATGGTTAAAGTTAAAGCTGTGAACACTACCTTATTAGACTAATACTGAAATGAGTCTTCCTCTTTGGTTAAAGTCTCTTACCTGAATATGTCACACTGTAAGCTTGCTAGCATACTCATTATAGCTAAACTGGTACTGCAGTGTTCCAGTGCACATTTTCCATCTTTAAATGGAAACGATAAAATCATATATGTAACTGTCGTCTTTATCTGATGTGGGAGGCACAAAAACGTGCAAAGAGAAGTTGCACTGAGTTTTCAATGGTAGTTCTTTTTTTATTTTTACTGAAAAAAAAGATGTATTGTCTAAATTTATGATATGAAGCTGCAACAAACACGCTCATCATACGCTCCCTGAGAACCTTTTGATTCACACTGTGAAGAACATCCTAGAAAGAGAAGAAAATAACGACCACATCCAGACTATGATTCCTGTACCATTCATTTAACAAAACACACGATGTGTTCATTTGGACTGTTTGTGTTATCTGCAGCTGTCCACATTTGTGCCTACAGAAAGCAAAAGAATCACCTGAGCACTTTTTATTCCTGTTATTGAGTGTTAGCACATGTTTATATTATGATATGGAAAATAATGATGAGGAAACCAGAGAAGAAAATTGATCAGCTTAGATCAGGTTTAAATGTTATTTCACTCATTTATATCTGAACACTTTACAGAAATGATTTGTTATTGTGGTCTAAACAAGTAATGTAATATGTCATTGTTCCTAAAATCTAAGTCTGTCCATAAATATTGATCTGTGCACCTGTTGTGTGGGTTTTGATGCTCCAATAATTCTACTAAAATGATTCTGATGACTCTTCTGTAGACATGTTGCTCATTAGTGACTTTTTCACATTTAGCACATTTTCATTCTCCACATTCTGTCACTTAAGACTGATTTTGAACCATTATGTTGAATTTATGAGGATATAAAGTATCAGTATTTGGACATGACCCGCACCCACCCACTCACTCATCTTAATTGTGATGGCAGCTCTTTTTACACAGCTCGTGTCCACAGCTAAGACGACATGTGGCATGTCTGTGTAAAGCTTGTATAATGTCAGAGCTCGTGAAGAAGGCCCAGAAGACAAATCCCCAAATGTTTTAATGGCCAGTCCACATCTGACAGTCGGGGCAAGTGTGACAGGACTCACATAGTCTATTTATATCTCTCTGAATCACAACAGTCACCTCACTGCACTTTACCTTTGAAAAGTAAAAACCCCGCAAATGTATCAGCTTTCTCACATTTATCAGTTCTTACTTACAGACAGGTGAAAGTTACTGATCCCATTATGAAATACACCACAAATGTCTCTAATTAAGAAGTTCTTTAGCTGCATGCTCACATAATAGTGTGCCTGTCACTGCAAATATTTCTTTCTGAGCCTTTTAAGAATTAGCAGGTCGATCCGATCTGCCTTTCCTCTCAGTAACATTGCACAATAGGTGTATATTTTATATCTTTGTATCAGACCAAACTTTACAGTGTCGTGCAAGAACCTCATTAAAATGTGCATGTAAGAGTGAAATCCTGTGAAATTAGTCCACGGCTTTGGTTACACACCGTCAGCAGTGTGACATTATGGGATGTGTCCCTCACGTGTCACAGGCATGAGATCAGTTTCATGTGCTACAATTAGCCTATTTAGTTTAGCATTAAAGACCATCTTAAAGGAACACACGGACATTTTATGAAAAGTCGTCCTGCTTCAATTCAAACTTCCTCCTACTTTCCATTTAAATGACCCATTTACGCACTTTTAGTTCTAATTTTGTACGAGTAGTCCACACCAATCTGGAGACGAGGGGAGCTACAGGAAGCCGATAATGATCCTTCCATGTCTGTGTAGGGCCTCAGTCATCCAGGTCATGTTAGTCCAGGGAGCAACTGGACTTCTTTAAGTTTCCAGTCTCATAGGTGAGGAATGTATCGTGAAACTAGGCTGATTGCTGGGTGTGCAGCCAATGTTAACCAATGTTAATGGGTTTCAAGCCTAAGGAGCGAGGCTGCAGGCTATGGCAGCAGCAGGTCCAGTGAATGGACCAGACAACAATTGCAGTGGATTGGTCAGCTCTATAAAAAGGTAAAGGCAGCAACGGCTTTTCCAGTTTGAGTCAATTCTTGAAATACAGTCATCATTCTGATTCATGACGAAGCAGCAAAAGGTTTTGAGAATCTGACTATATGATGTAATAATTTGTTCTCTAAAGACACGTTTTACAAAAAGTTATGCTTTTGTCACGACTGGTATCATCAAGTACTCGATGTCTGTCAAACATACCAGTGTTTGGCTCCACAGAGAAGTATGGGTGTCCTTGACTGATGCTGTAGACCAGTTTGGCACTGTTCCCATACATTGTGTCATCAGCATCTGTAGCTGTCACCTGGGTGACCGATGTACCTGAAAGAGTTGCATTACCACGACTGTTACTGAGAAAACAAAAAGCAGAAAAGTGCAGTGAGAGAGGTCCTTACCAATATCAGACCTCTCAGGAACACTGGCAGTGTACACCTCTTTGCTGAACTTTGGTTCGTTGTCATTGATGTCGTGGAGTTTGATGATGAACTCGGTCTCTGGCTCCAGTTTTTGACCCGTCCACTTGTTGACCACTGTGGCTTTGAGGACATAAAAGGCCTTCTCCTCTCGATCAAGGCGGCGCGTGGCGTGCAGATCGCCGTTATTCTCATCAATGACAAAGATGGTGCCAGCCCCCTCGCCAGAAAGAACGTACTTCACTGAGCCATCGCCATGGTCCTGGTCTGACTGGAGCTGCAGGTGGACATACCCAAGTGAAGAAGTCGTCAACTGATGGTTGAGTTATTTAACATACCAGACAGACACTAGCTGCTCATACAGTCAACTCTTTCCACTTCAGGACACTGAGGTGAGGTTGCATTCCCAATCTACAAAATAATGAAAATAATGAAAGCACATTTTATTTTGAGTGATTTTTTTCTTTATTAAGATCATTTAATACATTTAGTAACAGCTGAACAAAGGATCCTGTCTTCAGTGTTCTACCTATGCCCACAGGTAGAAAGCTTCTTACCTTAAGCAGGTAAAGTAAGCAGGGGTTGAGGTGGGATGTCAAGCTGTTTGCAGAGCCAGCATCACCTGTGAGCAGTTTAGAGTTTCTCACCCTATCAGAGAGTGAGAAAATAGCCCACACCATGTGACCAGCACTGAGACTGGAGAGATTGTAAGAGAGAGACATGGTATCTGAAGAAACCCTCAACTTAAATGAGACAGTTCTCCAAAAGCAAAGATGGTGGGAGATTCCTTGAGAAAAAGCTTTTTACAATCTTTTATTACTTGCTTTTTTCGTAATATAAGCTTTTCAACATACTCTCTTTCATAATCCTGTCTCTAAAAACATTTCTGCAGATGAAGGAACAAGGTCTGGTGGTAACAGTGACAGGTTTACAAAAGGCAAACAGAGCAAAAGCAGAAAGACCGAGCGTGAACTCCACACCGGGAAGCAAAACAAGAATCTTCTGAAGGCAGACAGTCAGCTGAAAATAAGAGTGTGTTGTGCCTGAAGGAGTACCTTTGCACTCTTACCCACAACAATAACCCATCTCTCCTGTTTTTCCTCTCTCTCACTTGCCTCTCATCTTTATTTGTAGCTCTTGAGCTGAAGTGGCTCACTGTCCACCTTTCATCCCCCCATTCCTGCTTTACTGCCTCAGGCCATGTGTTTGGGTGAAGCCTTTGATTAAGAGTATATGACTGTGGGAGTGTGTGTTAGAGAGAGGCAGCTGTGATCATATGTGGTGATATTTATGTGAGGTTTAACCACCTGCTAAATGATGGATTATGATTCTGTATGTGGTAATAAGTTACTTCTTAAAGCATTCACCCACCGCTGAATTTTCTTTAAGGTTCTCCAAGTCTTCTGACATTCACCTCGGTCTACAGTTCACCCCACAGACTTTCAGGGCTTTGTCAGTGACGCTCACCTTGGTGTTCTGGAGGTAGTTCTTAACCAGGAGCAATGTATGTTTTGTGTTGTTGTCATGTTGGAAGACAAAGTGATTTACTTTGTTTTCACATATCATTCTTTCTTCATGAATCCTTCCACTGTGACAAGATTCCCAGTTCAAGACACACTGAAGCATCCCCACAGCACTCCCATCACCGCCTTTCAGTGTGTGTGTTCTTAGGGTTCCTTCTCCAAACATCTGTAGGACCAATAAGCTCTAGTTTCATCTCATCTGACCAAACGACGCACTTCCAGTACGCATAAACTTTCTCCAGGTTGTCCTTAATGTATATGTGTGTGTGTGTATATATATAAAACACCCAGCACGCCCCTGCGGGCGGTTTATCCTTCAAGCTCGGGTCCTCTACCAGAGGCCTGGGAGCTTGAGGGTCCTGCGCAGTATCTTAGCTGTTCCCAGGACTGCGCTCTTCTGGACAGAGATCTCCGATGTTGTTCCCGGGATCTGCTGGAGCCACTCGCCTAGCTTGGGAGTCACCGCACCTAGTGCTCCGATTACCACGGGGACCACCGTTACCTTCACCCTCCACATCCTCTCGAGCTCTTCTCTGAGCCCTTGGTATTTCTCCAGCTTCTCGTGTTCCTTCTTCCTGATATTGCTGTCATTCGGAACCGCTACATCGATCACTACGGCCGTCTTCTTCTGTTTGTCTACCACCACTATGTCCGGTTGGTTAGCCACCACCATTTTGTCCGTCTGTATCTGGAAGTCCCACAGGATCTTAGCTCGGTCATTCTCCACCACCCTTGGGGGCATCTCCCATTTTGACCTCGGGACTTCCAGGTTATACTCGGCACAGATGTTCCTGTACACTATGCCGGCCACTTGGTTATGGCGTTCCATGTATGCCTTGCCTGCTAGCATCTTGCACCCTGCTGTTATGTGCTGGATTGTCTCTGGGGCATCTTTACACAGCCTGCACCTGGGGTCTTGCCTGGTGTGATAGACCCCAGCCTCTATGGATCTTGTGCTCAGAGCTTGTTCTTGTGCTGCCATGATTAGTGCCTCTGTGCTGTCTTTCAGTCCAGCTTTGTCCAGCCACTGGTAGGATTTCTGGATATCAGCCACCTCCTCTATCTGCCGGTGGTACATACCGTGCAGGGGCCTGTCCTTCCATGATGGTTTCTCGTCTCCCTCCTCTTTCTTGGGTTTCTGCTGCCTGAGGTATTCACTGAGCACTCGGTCAGTTGGGGCCATCTTCCCAATGTATTCTTGGATGTTCCTTGTCTCATCCTGGACTGTGGTGCTGACACTCACCAGTCCCCGGCCCCCTTCCTTCCGCTTAGCGTACAGCCTCAGGGTGCTGGATTTGGGGTGAAACCCTCCATTCATGGTAAGGAGCTTTCTTGTCTTTATGTCAGTGGCTTCTATCGCCTCCTTTGGCCAGCCTATTACCCCAGCAGGGTACCTGATCACGGGCAGGGCGTATGTGTTGATGGCCCGGATCTTGTTCTTACCATTCAGCTGACTCCTCAGGACTTGCCTGACCCTCTGCAGGTACTTGGTGGTTGCAGCTTTTCTACATACATGCATACACATACATACATACATACATACATACATGTATGTATGTATGTGTATGTATGTATGTATGTGTATGTATGTATGTATGTATGTATGTATGTATGTATGTATGTATGTATGTATGTATGTATGTATATATATATGTGTATGTGTATATATATATATGTATGTGTATGTGTATGTATATATATATATATATGTGTATGTGTATGTGTATGTGTATATATATATATATATATATGTATGTGTATGTGTATATATATATATATATATGTATGTGTATATATATGTGTATATATATATATATATATATATATATACACACACACACACACACACACACACACACACACACACCCGGAATGGCTAACTGAAGGCCGGACGGTCCTGATCCCCAAGGACCCCAAGAAGGGACCGGTCCCCTCCAACTACCGACCAATAACCTGCCTCAGTACTACATGGAAGCTCCTATCAGGCATCATATCGGCTAAGATGAACAGGCACATGGGTCAATACATGAGCGGGACACAGAAAGGAATTGGCAAGAATACCAGAGGCGCAAAACACCAGCTACTGGTAGACAGAACAGTCAGCAGAGACTGCAAGACCAGACTGACCAACCTGTGCACTGCCTGGATTGATTACAAGAAGGCCTATGACTCAATGCCACACAGCTGGATACTGGAATGTCTAGAATTGTACAAGATCAATGGGGCCCTAAGAGCTTTCATCAGGAACTCAATGGGGATGTGGCGTACAACACTAGAGGCCAACTCCAAGCCCATAGCACAAGTCACCATCAAGTGCGGGATCTACCAAGGAGATGCTCTGTCCCCACTGCTGTTCTGCATAGGCCTGAACCCCCTCAGTGAGATCATTAACAAGAATGGCTACGGATACCGACTACGGAACGGAGCAGTTGTCAGCCACCTCCTGTACATGGATGACATCAAGCTGTATGCCAAGAGTGAACGAGACATCGATTCACTGATCCACACTACCAGGCTATACAGCAATGACATTGGAATGTCGTTCGGACTGGAGTGTAGTCGGATGGTAACAAAGAGAGGGAAGGTAGTCAGAACTGAGGGGATTGAACTACCAGAAGGCAACATTGCAGACATAGAGGACAGTTACAAGTACCTGGGGATCCCGCAGGCAAATGGGAACCATGAAGAGGCCGCTAGAAAAGCTGCAACCACCAAGTACCTGCAGAGGGTCAGGCAAGTCCTGAGGAGTCAGCTGAATGGTAAGAACAAGATCCGGGCCATCAACACATACGCCCTGCCCATGATCAGGTACCCTGCTGGGGTAATAGGCTGGCCAAAGGAGGAGATAGAAGCCACTGACATAAAGACAAGAAAGCTCCTTACCATGAATGGAGGGTTTCACCCCAAGTCCAGCACCCTGAGGCTGTACGCTAAGCGGAAGGAAGGGGGCCGGGGACTGGTGAGTGTCAGCACCACAGTCCAGGATGAGACAAGGAACATCCAAGAATACATTGGGAAGATGGCCCCAACTGACCGAGTGCTCAGTGAACACCTCAGGCAGCAGAAACCCAAGAAAGAGGAGGGAGACGAGAAACCATCATGGAAGGACAGGCCCCTGCACGGTATGTACCACCGGCAGATAGAGGAGGTGGCTGATATCCAGAAATCCTACCAGTGGCTGGACAAAGCTGGACTGAAAGACAGCACAGAGGCACTAATCATGGCAGCACAAGAACAAGCTCTGAGTACAAGATCCATAGAGGCTGGGGTCTATCACACCAGGCAAGACCCCAGGTGCAGGCTGTGTAAAGATGCCCCAGAGACAATCCAGCACATAACAGCAGGGTGCAAGATGCTAGCAGGCAAGGCATACATGGAACGCCATAACCAAGTGGCCGGCATACTGTACAGGAACATCTGTGCCGAGTATAACCTGGAAGTCCCGAGGTCAAAATGGGAGATGCCCCCAAGGGTGGTGGAGAATGACCGAGCTAAGATCCTGTGGGACTTCCAGATACAGACGGACAAAATGGTGGTGGCTAACCAACCGGACATAGTGGTGGTAGACAAACAGAAGAAGACGGCCGTAGTGATCGATGTAGCGGTTCCCAATGACAGCAATATCAGGAAGAAGGAACACGAGAAGCTGGAGAAATACCAAGGGCTCAGAGAAGAGCTCGAGAGGATGTGGAGGGTGAAGGTAACGGTGGTCCCCGTGGTAATCGGAGCACTAGGTGCGGTGACTCCCAAGCTA